ACCATGTAAGGTAGCATAGTCAGAAGTTCCACAGGCTGGGACAGGGCTTCCTGGGGGACCGTAATTCTACTGTCCACAAACAAATCAAGAGTGGGGATTTGGAAACTTTTATAGCAATTTTATGGAGTAATTTTATATCTCCAAAAGCTAATAAAAGAACGTTTGAGTGTGTACTTTGTAGGTCATTTTATTTCATTTTTATAGGAAAAGAAAGTATGCGGAGACAGATACTGGTCTGAAGTAGACTGAAAACTTTTTTTAAAAAAAAAAGTAATTCTTCACCATGGAAACTTTGAGAAACACTACTTTAAAGCTTAGCTATAATTTTAGCTCTAAAATTAGCCGAATCCCAGGGTCTGTTTTAACATGTTTTAGTCATCTTTCTGAATTCTTTTTACCGTGTGATTCATCTGTTCTTTTTTTTTTTTTTTTTTTCAAAATATTCTTCCATCCATTCGGATGATTTATATGCCGCAAGAAATAAATCAACACCAGCTCAGCAGCACCCTGTATTGCTTCACAGGCTGTCCTGCCAGCATGCCATCATCCATCCTATTACTATGTCAGAAGAATTCTGTGATGTCCTAGATACATCTCTACGTTCTATTTATTACATTCCTGAGGTTTGGTGTAGGAAGCCTTGGCAGGGACATTTGGTGGTTTTCTCGACAGAAGGCAGCATAGTCTTCCTTGCCCTGGAGAACACAAGCTCTAGTCATCTAAATTTTGAGCTTGCTACATTGTATCACTTAAAATTATTAGAAGTGGTAGCCTGGTATAAGGTGGAGGGCAAGGAAGAGATCAGCATCTCATTGTTAGGACAAGTATGATATTTGACATGGGGTTTGGGGGGGGGCAGGGAGTCTAGGACTTGAACTCAGGACCTGGGCACTGTCCACTGACTTTTGTGGTGGTTAATTGGAGATGACAATTTCATGGACACTCCTCCTTGTTGGTGTCTTCAAACGGTGATTCTCAGATCTCAGCCTCCAGAGTAGCTAGTATTACAGTCATGAGCCATGGGCACCTGGCAACCGTGGTGTTTTTAGGGGGGAAAAAATTATAGAGTTTCCTGACTTCTGCCTACAGGGCTAGAATGTGTAACATCGAGGGAGAAGAAAGGAAAACTTTGAAAATACTAGAGAAAAGAATGTGGAAAAGACAAAGCCTTGGAGTCAGCTTTGAAGGGATTATGAAGGGATTGTCCATCTTCTCTAGTCACAGAAAAGATGTGGCAATTACAGTACCAATCACAAGCTCCACCCTCTTCTACTGAAGTTAGATGCTGGAGAAGAGACAGATCATGGAAGGGGGATGTTTGCACAGATATGATTGAGGCGGGAACGTCCAGCCTTCAGACACCTATAAGAGAACAGCTCACTATTCACCACTCTAGCCTTCAGAGGATCTTCACTCCATAGAAAATTGCTTGCTTGCTGGGCACCGGAGGCTAGCTACTCAGGAGGCTGAGATCTGAGGATGGCAGTTCAAAGGCAACCCAGGCAGGAAAAGTCCGTGACACTCCCATCTCCAATAAACCACCAGAAAAAACAGAAGTGGCACTGTAGTTCAAGTGGTAGAGTGCCAGCCTTGAGCTGAAGAGCTGAGGCCCAGAGTTCAAGCCCCACAACCAACAACAACAACAAAAAAAAGAGTCTCATGGAGTTTTCTGCCTGGCTGGCTCTGAACTGTGATCCTCTGATCTCAGCCTCCTGAATAGCTAGGATTGTGGCATCCAGCTTCCATAAGACTCTTATCTCCAATAAACCACTAAAAAAAATGAAGTGGCGCTGTGGTTCAAGTGGTAGAGCACTAGCTTTGAGCTGAAGAGCTGAGGGACAGCACCCAGGCCCAGAGTTCAAGTCCTGTGACCAACAACAACAACAACAACAAAACTTCCTTGCTTCCTTCCTGCAAGCTTAATAGACTAAAAGCTATGTTCTAGCTGGGCCCTGGTGGCTGTAAGCCCAGCTACTCTGGAAATTAAGATCTGAGGATGGTAGTTCAAAGCCAGCCCAGGCAGGAAAATCCATGGGATTCTTCTCTCCAATTAACCACTAGAAAGCCAGAAGTGGAACTGTGGCTCAAGTGGTAGAGCGCTAGCCTTGAGCACCGATATTCAGTAATGAAAGGAAATTTCATGCAGTCTCTCATGGATGCCTGGTGTGGCATACCCAACCCTATTCATTTCCTTTCCTTTCCTTTTCTCTTGGTTCTTTCACACTGTTTGGGAGACAAATGCACTATCAATTCTAAAAGCTTCACTAAGAAATCTGTGAGCTCTACCTCAGGCTTGGTCCTTACACAGCAGGTAGACCCTCCTCAGTAACCCCCACAGGGCTCAAGCCATCTTGCCAGAAGACTTCCCCTTCCCTTCTTTTCCTTCCTCTGTCCTTCACCTGGCCTCTAAGTCACGGGCCCAGCTTTTGCTGCCTGCTGCAGGGAATTTACTTTGCTCTTTGGCAAATGTTTTCCCAGGGGTCAGCTTAGTATTTACTTTGGCTTAACAGTTGCCCTGAAGTTCATTTCCCCCAAGGTCAGAGGAACGGGGGAAGGGTGGGCAGTGATGGGAACACACAATTTCAAAAGTTTGTGTCTCCAGAGAGGACCCTCACAGCTCCAGGCCCTAAGCCGACAATAACACTCAGGAGACTGAAGAGGCAGGCAAGCATCGGAACACCCAGCAGTAGAGATGCGAACAGGTGAGACTTAGTTTGGGGAGTCAATGTCTGGGTCAACAGAGACCCCACTGTACATGCCTTTAACCCAGCCCCTGACACTGCCTGCAGGCTCCTCTAACTTAAGCCTCCCCTAGTCACACTTCCCAGAAGTCTGGCCTTAAAAGGCTAAAATTAAATCACACAAGCAACTTGTGCACACTGACAACATAGCATAATGTACATGGACTAGGCAAAGACACCACCATACACACAGGCACACACATGCACACAGCACAACACAATACGTGCAGACGTAGTATTTGCACAAATTCTCAGATCCAACCCTCCCCCACCACCTCCCTGGCACTGCTACCCACAGCCCTCAGGCAGGCAGCGCCTCTCCCTCTCCTGTCTCCCGTTTCCAGCCAAATACCAAATCCTCTCTACACTGCCATGTTGACCTGGCATGCCCTTCTTTTCAAGCCCATTGACGGGCAACTATTGCAGACCCTAGCATCTCTTTTCTGGCCTTCTTCAGTGATTCCCAGGCTACAATGGCCTCTAATTCTGTTTTATAACTTTAATCAGGACTAGAGGTAAGAACCCTTTTCTCTTGTATAAGAACCCAGAATCCCCTAAAGGCCACCTAGGAAATCAAGCCAGTTGCTGTGACCATAGAGGCCCACATCCTGCTGGCCCACATCACACTTGTAATCCTGGTCTTAGAGCCAGGCTGGCCTAGGCTGTCCCCATTCTGCCATCTTGCCTCCCCAAATGACCCCTCTCAAGATCTGCCCCCCCAAAAAAAATTAGAGAGGCTATTAATCAGGAATATCCCTAATCTTGCTCTATTCCCACCTGGAACTCTCTTAAACTTCAGCACCAGGAGTTTATCAAGGACACAGCGAATTCCTATGAAAGTCATAATACTACCCTGCCTCCCACATAGATCAGCTATGCAGCCCTGGTCGTGGGAGGCAAGAGACTAGAGGGCCAGGAGCATACTGGGAGCCTGGGAGAGAGCAAGGCCAGCGTTCAAGGTCAGCATCAGAGCACTGCTAAGGACAAACATGGCCAAGCTCAGTGAGCGAATGGTCTCAGCTTTCAGTAAGAACCCTCCTAGCCCCCTTCCATCCACACACAACCTCTGCTTAGCTCTAATTACAGACCAAGGAGACCGAGAAAAACCATAATAAAATAACTGACTACATATTTCCTGCTATGTAGAAGGCTGTCTACTTTCATTCAGAAGCACAGAGATTTGTTTTCTTTAGTTTACACACACACACACACACACACACACACACACACACACACACACATTTATCTCCAGAGCTGAGCATGCTAGCATGTTAGCATACACCTGTAATTCCCAGTATGTGCAAGGTAGGTGGGAAGATCTTTGTTGGAAGCTTATCTGAAAAAAAAAGTAAAAGTAAAATAACTACAAGCATGGCTCAAGTGGTAAGTGCTCACCTACCAGTGGAAGGCTCTGAGTTCAGTACCCAGTATCAAGAGAGAGAGAGAGAGAATACTAAAAGCCCTTAAAGGCCTGTGGCTGGCAAGAGGTAAAGTTCTTGAATGCAACAAGAAGCAAGAAAAGCAGAACTAATCCCATAATAGAACAAGTGCTTTGTGAATAGTGAGAGTCCCTCAAAAATAGAAATAATCAGGAGAGGGAATGAGAAGAGAAACAGTAGCCAGGAGATGCTAAGAGTCCAGGAAAAGAATCCTCGTGATCAGATGAGCTAACACATAGGTTAGATGGACAGGAATTCGGTCCACCATAGCCAGTGAACATGGGCTGAGAACAGTCAACATGAAATTGTCATACTGGAATGTCAAACCGAGCACTGAACAAGAGCTTATCCCACAGCAACTCCGTGGTGGTGGCACTCAGGAGATTCAGAAAAAGAGGACTAAGTCCCATATTCAAAGCTGGTAGCATAACAGCAGAGAACAAGTACTCATGAGACTGGCAGATATGCAGGAAGAGTAAATCACAGACATGCAGGTGTCCACATGCAATTTTTCCATGCTAAAAGGAGATATTGCCTGGTGCTTAGTGGCTCATGCCTGTAATCCTAGCTACTTAGGAGGCTGGGATCAGAGGATCATGGTTCAAAGCTAATCCCAAGCAGGAAAGTCCATGAAGCTCTTATCTCCAATTAACCACCAGAAAAATGGAAGTGGAGCTGTGGCTCAAAATGGTAGAGTACTAGCCTTGAGTTCAGGGATACTACCAGGCCCTGGGTTCAAGCCCCCTGACTGACAAAAAAAAGGGGGAGATATTAAAGAAGACTGGAAGGCTTGAGAATCGCAGCACATGTCTATACATACCCAATCAGAATAATAATGTAAAGCCAGAGGGAAGCCGTCTCTAAGTCCAGTGTTCACAGATGGGGACCCTTGCTCCCATCCTCAGAGACTGTCACATAGATTTGAATGGAATGACATCCACCTGGCCCCTTTCTCACCAAGTCCCTGAATCATTAACGAAGCTCAATCCCTTGTGTATCCAGCTAGACACTTCCTTGTTAACCACTGTGTAACAAGTGATGGAATTCTACCCACAGAGAACAAGAGGCAACCAGGTGACTTGGCGGGGAGAGAGGGTAGTGGTCATTTGAGACATTTCAGGACACATCGGTCTCCTGAGGTTCCTGGAATCTCAGCAGGGACCAGGAGCCCTGTGTCCTTCACACCCCACTGAGCACTTCCTTTCCCCCTCCCCCAACTCCTGTTTATACATGAACTAACAAGAGCGAAAAAATCCTATTTGTCCAAGTCGTTCCCATGAGGGACTTGGCAATTGGTGTATCTGGGCTTAACTCCTGGGCGCCTCTGGGGATTAAAAAGATGGCTCAGAGGACTGGAAGTTGGTAAGGCTCCAGAACCAAATTCAGTTTCTAGCAGAACCTTGGGACTGTATGTAGAGACCGGCAGATACGTAGTCCTTTTCTCCTGTTCACAACCCCATTTGTCACAGCCTTCAACCGAACAAGTCCCATCACCTCATACTGATGTCATGCTTCATTTAGCAGAGTCTCCAAAATCAGTTCCACTAAGCTCCGGATTTCCCTCTCATCCCACATGTAGGACACAATAAGCTGCCTGTGGCATCAGACCATCTCTTCTAGACTCCCTCCTTTTAATCCTATCACATAGGTTTCTTTCTCTTCTAGAAGTCTCCAGAAATTCAATGCCTCCCAGAATCAAACATGCCTCAGCCATCCATCTCTCTAGAACAAAGTTGATTTCTTTGTTTTTTGTTTTTTACTACATATATTGGTGGTTTTGTTAAGGCCAAATCCACAATACATGATGCAGTAAGAAAAGGTTTGTCAAAAATAAACCAGGCTGCAAAAGTAGCCAGTATGCTCTCCAAACTCATTCTTTTAAGTAAAATACTTATTCTCAAAGAGTATCTGTTGCTTAAAAATAAAAACAAAAACTGGAAAAAAAAAATTTTGGAGGTACTGGGGTCTGAACTCAGGGTCTTGTGCTTGCTCAGTTGGTGTTCTACCACTTGAGCCATACTTCCGGCCCTGCTTTTTGCTGGTTATTTTGGAGATGAAATCTCACAGACTTTTATCCCAGGCTGTCCTTAAATCAGGAACCTCTACATCTCAGCCTCTTGAGTAGCCTCTTGAGTATAGACATGAGCAACCAGTACCCAACTTTCTAAAGCACTCTTATTCAGAGAAGCAATAAACTCCTAGACTTTCCAATTCCTGATCACTTTCTGTCCACTTCATTCACAAACCACCTGGTCTTCCTCTGTCCAATCTCCTGCAAGAAGCCCCTTCAGATAGATATCCAGCAAAACAGGTGGGGTATCTTAACCCCCTCTGACATTTTCCATAAGGCCTATGTTAAATCAAGTCACCCAGGCCATGTTCCGCAGAGCCATGAAGGCCCACCTCTCAAACTCTTGGGAAGGACTCCAAGAACTCCAGAAAATGATGTGTACCTTGGGCAAGCTACTAAAATAAGACAGACATACTTCACATTGAGGGGGAAACATGGGGAAAGTTAGCAATCAATGACACACTGATCTACAGAGAAACTCTCCATTTTCTTTCCAAATGGGGGAATGAGTAAACAAAAACATAATTAAATAGGCAAGCTAGATGGTGAAAGGTCAGGTTTGCTCTGCTGAAGAACACAACTCTTATTCCTAAGAGTTGTTAACAGACTCTGCAAGATTCTAGGCTCGGAATGACGGGATTATATTTGCATTTGTTAAGCAATGCTGTCATTTGTGTCTCATTGTAGTTCTGCTAGTGCCTTTACTCATGGCTAGTGCACCTGTTTGCCCAGCTCTTGTTCATTTGTATATCTTCTTTGGCAATATGAAGTCCTTTGCTCATTTCAGTAAGGTTAAGTGAACTAAATAAAACTCTTCTTTACAAAGTTCCTGATCTTGGACATTTGTCGTAGCAACACAAAATAGACTTAAGTTCAAACAGTTATTGTTTTCTTTGTTTTTAATGGCATCATCCTTCCTCTGAGTGGTGAAGCACACTCACTAAAGCTATGTTATAGAAATGCTGGCCAATATAGTCTTGTAGTCATCAATTTAACTAAGACCAGACAGCATGATTATCTCCAGCAATGGATAGTCATTTCCTCTGTGCATAAGGGACTTTATGCTGGACTTCTTTTCTCTTAACCTAACGTATAACAACTTTGACTTAAACCACATTATTTCTAAGAACAAACAACACTGGGTCATCTCCCATATGCTGATTGTCCAGCCATATCATTTTTTTTTTTGCATTTTTCACAGAGTATCGCAGAACCATCCACATAGATTTGGTCTTGCCAGCATCTTCACAAAACAGATCAACGATTTTATGGAAGTCTTATCATTCTTTTAAAATGAACCAAACATTGTAAACACTAAAATCACTCCCCCTGGGGGGGGGGGTGCAAATTATAGTGCAGTTTCTCTAAAAGAAGTGAGGGGCAGAGGGGAAGGGAAGAGAGTAGAGGGGTTATTGATGGTGTTATATACTGTAAGGTAACTGTAAATAGTAATAATATACTATATGTTCCCCAAAACTTGAATGTTTTTACTAGAAAATATTTGAGAAGATAGATATGTTTACCCTGCTTATACGATATACACATACAATAAAATACCACATGGTGTCCTATTAATATGTACAATGTTTTGTGCAATCAGTTAAAAATAAATGTGTCACAACAGGAAGGGGTAAAAGGAAGGTGAAGGGAGGGAAAGGGAGAAGAGAGAAGCAGAAGGGAAGAAGAAAGGAGAGGGGAGGAGAAAAGAGATCACTATGAAAGTGTTTTGTAATCATAATTAAAAACTCCACAATCTTGAGAGGTTCATCTTACTGCTTGACATTGTGAATTATAACTCTGGAATTCTCCATTACATTTGATTTCTCTAGAGCATGAGTTCTGGCAGTGGAGGTTCCCAAAGTCCTGCTTTGGTTCTTCTCTGATCCTTCCCTGAACATTCTACTAATGTGGCTCTCTCCCTCTCCCTCTCTCTCTCTCCCTCTTCCCTCCCCCTCTCTTCTCCCTCCTCTCCTCTCTCTCTCTCTCTCTCCCTCCCACCTCTCTCCCCCCCTCCTGCAAGACCAGACAGTGAAGGTCTAGGACAGCAGGGCCAGCTCCAAGTGCTGTATTTTTAGACCTGGGTGGACTATCTGTGGCAAAGAAGCCATCTCAAGGGTGTTAGGTGTGCTGACATATTGAATCTGAGGACCTCACAGTTTCTCACAGGTCTGCAGAAATCGGCAGACAATGAGATGAAACATCTACCTGCTGAGTTCTTGGGGGACTATTTCAGGAAGATCATTAATTCTCCACAGTTCTAGAGAGAGCAGCACAGGAAATTGCAGACTTTTTCATAAATTACAGTATCATTCAAGAGCAAGTATTAACATATAGAATTTAATAGGCGGATGATGCCTCGAAACCATACATCAGATAGAAACATCAGTAAAATAGTTATCATTTTTTGGCGGCACCATAGTTTGAACCCTTGTTCAGCTTGTTTAATCAGCTGACACTCTATCCACCTGAGCCACATTCCTGTCCCTGCCTTTTATGGGTTATTTTGGAGACTGAGTCACCGAAGACTTTTCTGTTCAGAGCTATCTTCAAACAGTGACCTCCAAATCTCAGACCAGAATTTGAACTTAGTACCTGATGCTTTTGCTCATTGGCTAGCAATCTACCAACTGAGCCACACCCCCAGGCCCTGATTTTTTTATTCAATTTTTATCAAAATTATGTGTAACCTTTCCCAAAGTTTTTTTTTTGGTTAATACATTTAAAATTGTTGACGCCTCCAACTGTCTCCTGACAACCATAATAATTTAGGTAAGAAAATATTCAGTACACAATTGTTGTACCTGATAAACACCCAGAAAAATTCTGCCACAAAGAATATTCTATTTTAGTGATTTATCATTGAAATGTGTAAATATTTCAACCCAGCTATTTTCACAGGCACGATTCTTCCATCCTATTCTAAGTAACATTACTTAATAAATATTTTTGGAATGCAAATGAAATAATCGTTTAGGTTTATTTAGGTGATTTAGATTTAGGCGCTGAAAATTCATTGGCCTTTTCAATGACCCAGAATAAATATCAACTTATGCATTTAAATATGGAAGATCTACCAAAAGATTCTCCCCACAAGTTTGGCATGGTCTAGCATCTCACCACTAAACCCTGTAAATTGGATCAGTACTCATCATCTAACGGTGCAGTACTTCTCTTGCTTTTTTGCAGCTAGTTCTCAATGTGGCTCTGCTTGAACACTTTGTTTTTTCAATCACTGCAACTCATTAAAAGCTTCCAAGGCTAAAAGTTTTCAGCACTTCATTTAATAAATACTTTGTTTGTTGATATTTTTTTAGTAGTGCTTTTAAGTGGTGGTAAGATAGATGGGGGAGGTGGGTGGGAGGGAATGATAGAAGGAGTGGCACTGATCCTTTTTAATGTGCTTACAATTTACAGTTTAATTTTCATGAGTATATAACAAAAATTAAGCAAGCTATTGTTTTAAGCTGTAACACAGCTGTCAAACATTTAGGATGACTTATAGCAGCTGCTTCACAAATTCTAATACAGACATAATATGTATGATGATAGATATAGAAAAGCCATACATACATACATACATAAATACAGATGACAGATAAAAAATAGTTAAGTAGCTGGGCACCAATGGCTCACACCTGTAATCCTAGCTACTAAGGAGGCTAAGATCTGAGGATGATGGATCAAAGACAGCCCAGGCAGTAAAGTCTGTGAGACTCTTAGCTCCAATAAACCACCAGAAAACCAGAAGTGGTACTGTGGCTCAAGTGGTAGTGTGCTAGCCTTAAGCTGAAGAGCTGAGGAACAGCGCCCAGCCCCAGAGTTCAGGCCCCATGA